ACAAGGCCCAAATCCAGAGTAGAAAAGGGGCGCTCAATTTGTTTCACAATTCCTGTCCAAAATTCCTATTTTTTGGCATTTTTTCTCCAAACTTGTTCCGACTTTTAGTATCTCGGAGCATCTGCCGAAACCTTCCACCCCCTAGCGCAGCCTTCCACAGAAGAAACAGGCAGACATTGTCACAAAAGTTCTACGTTTTGAGTCAGTGAACTTGGCCTCTCGGAACACCCCTCGCATGCGTCTTCGGCAAAACTATCAGGGGGCAAAGAGAAGGGCAGCGGGTTTGTTGATCCTGGGTTTTCAATACTCGAGGAATCGAGGAACGCACCTTACCTTGGGTCTTGGCCGCTCTGCGGCAAGCTCGTGGGGGGACGGAAGACCAGTCCCCATTTTCCCACTCCAAACCTGGTCGTTTGCAAGCTAATTTGGGCTTGCAGAAATCGCGTGACCCGACATCCCACGTCTGTTCAGCGCCAAATATGACTTGTATGGTGGATGGACTTCAGACCATCCAAGCTTTCGCTGCTTGGCCAAAAGGGTGGAAGAAGGAAAATTTCCTGTAAGGAGCATGTCTTGGACATAGTGAAAAGATCAAAAGACATAGCACTGAGGAGGTGAAAACCGCCCCCTCCACTTCGCCAACCTCTCCAAGCTCTCCTATCACCCTCAGCAGCGGTGGGCCGATTGACAAGGTGAGGGGCCGCTCTGTCTGGGGTAAGGACTTCAATGATTTGCAATGAGCTCAACAGGCAGATTTTGGAAATTCAGAGTCCAGCAGTGGAGCGTTGGATGAAACGGCAATCCCTTTCTGAAGAAACGGTCACTTTGGGAACGACGATTTTTCCGTGTTTCTTTTAGACTTCGTGCCGCACTTCGTGCCTCAAAACGAAAGACACCTCCTGACCCTAAAGAGAGAAGCTATTAGTAACAGGTGCCACGCTAGTAGTAACAAGTGCCTTACTAGTAGTAACAAGAAGCTATTAGAAACAAGTGCCACGAGAGCCCGAAGGGCCATGCCAAATTCCGCTCCGAGTCCAACGAGACTTCCAACGGAGCGCTCGCCGCGTCGCCGCGACGTTCTCGGCACCGGCCTTGTTCGTTCTCGGTCGGCCAGCGACAGGAGGCGCTGCTGGAGCTGCAACAGGCAGGGGTTTCTCGTTGGTTTTGTGGGGAGATCCATTGGGCGATTCCAAAGAGAATGGATGCAGGAAATAAAGAGAAACAGGTCTGAGAAAACTATAGGAAATCTGATGGGATCCTTCCCTTAGAAAAGTATCGTTTGAGAAAACCCAAGCATCACATCTCTTTTAGACATCCCCATTCAACAGATCCGGTCTTCAGACCAGGTCTTCCTGGAGACCTTCGCCTTGCCCAGCTTTCAACGCAAGCTGCGGGAGACGTCCACCGCGACGGGATCCGATGTCTCTCTCTGGGAGTTGTTGGAGGAGAGCCACTCGGACCGAGGACCGAGACATGACCTGTGGTGACGACGGGTGTTGCCCGTTGTCCGGCGTGTGGTGCCGTTTCGATGAAAGAACGGGGAAGAAGGGATAAGCGTTTTGAAGGAGGCTTGAGGATGGTTTTGAAAGTGGAAACCGGTGTGGAAACCGGTGTTCCGAAGGGGATTGGACAGATGGGGTGAGTCAAGATGAACTGCATTGGAGGATGAATGGCCGAATTCGCAGGTGGTACAGGTCGTGGGTACATTGTGCTACCGGTAGCTTCGAAGCTGAGAGTCTTGAAATACTCATAGGATCTCATAGGTCAAGTGGAGTGAATTCGCCACCTATTCACGAAAGGTAGCTTGAGCTACCTGAGTTCTCCTTGCTTTAGCAAAAATGTATTACAATCAGGAGTTGGGATTGTGCATGAATTTGGTCCTGTAAGAGTTGATTCTGTTCGTCGGGGGGGGGGCCCACCCCCCCTGGATCAAATCCCCCCTGCGCCGGTTCACGCCGTCATGGACTTTTACCAGGGTTGCTTGTGATGGCCTGCTACCTTTCGTTCACCCCCTCCTCTCTCAAGTTGGTCTTCGGATGAGACCGCGTCATCCGAACTCAGGGGCCTTCCCATCCACGGTCACCATGGAGGATTTCAGGGAGTGCACCGTTCGTGCACCGGGGCGCCGTGCAGGACCATCGCCACCATGGCCAGTGGCCTGGGGTTCACGTTTGGAATCCTTCAGCCCAAAACCGTTGGCCCAAATGTCACCGCTGTGCGACGGACAGCCCAGGTGAAGTGCAGAGGCTCGAGAAGTATGGCATGGAGGCTTCACTCCTTGAGTTGAAGGAGCTCTCGAATCTGTGGAAGGACTTTGAGAAACTTGCTCACCAATCTGGGACCGCGGAGCGCGTGGGTTGGCAGGGACACCCCTCTGCTGACTGGCCACCTCCAGCAACGCCTTGGGAGGGCAGATCCCCCTTTTCCACCTCCAACTTCTTCTTCTCTGAGGGATATCCATGCTGTCAAGGGAGGTCATGGGGTGCCACAGTGCCACCAATTATTCTTCCTGAAATCATCATCATTAATGGTTACACATTCATGGACACATGGCCCTCAAAGATGACCATTTTCTGAATGCCAAGCTTAGATGATTTGGCTCTAGACATCTCACCAATTCTCATGGATCTTTGTGTGCAGTACAGGTGAGATTTATATAAGTGGTTGTTCTTCTCGTTCATTGGGGATCATTGGCGCTGGACCCCTTGGAGATCACCTTTTCGTTTTAAGACTATGACGAAGGTTTTCAGGATTTCCATGTTTACTTTGGCAGGGCCCTGCCGTAGGCCGCGGGGATAGCGTCCCTGGTCCCTCTTAGGACAGATGCAGAGGTCTACGTCAACCAGATGGCCATCGAGGAGTCTTTGGGCCTGTCTCAGGTGGCTCCTGCCGAAGTGGAGGAACGGCCATTGGATCGTGGATCCAGCACGCCGCTCAGCAAGCAGAGTGTCAAGAGGCTTTTGAAGAGCTTGCTGAGGACCGAAAATTCCATGCTTCGACCGCATGGCAGCATGTTCGCACAGTTCGCCAAACCAATGCGCTCCCTAGTCCAAAACCCTCCTTTTTTTTTTTGTTTCTGGAGTCCATCGCCCCATCGCCGCCGTCTAGTGACGCCACCCAGGGGCGAAGAGATCCACCCACCGACGTCTGATACTTGCTCTCTCGAGGAGCTTCAGCGAACCCGACTTCCAAGAGGCCATCGAAAAGCTCAAGCAGACAGCCGACGCTTCGTCCCATCTGTGCCGCGACCAGGGCTACTATCAGCTTCCTGGGCGTGCAGCAATGGCCTTCGCGGTGCAAGAACAACTCTTGCCCTGCCGCTTGGAGAGGGCAAGACGAGCGGCGAGGGACGGCGGTTCCTGGCGAAGGGCATGAGATGTTTTGTTGCGAAGGCGGGCGGCTGGCGTTCTTCTTTTGTTCGATAGCGAGCCGGTTGGGCGAAGGTTGGTGAAGGTGTTCGGTGAAGTTGGTGAAGATGGTGACGTTGTGCAGGGCCGGAAGGGCTGGAGCACAAGGTAAGAAGCAGAGATGCAATATCGGGCAAGCATGAACGAGACTTACCTTTCTGGGAATTTCATCAGCTTGTGGGATTTGAGCTAGTGTGTCTCCAGCTTCTGAAATCGGAATTGGAGCAAGTACACGACTGGCCGGAATCGACTGGCCGGCTTTCTGATCGTGAATTTGTCCGATCCTCCGTTTCTTGTGGCAGAGTTATACATTCATCACAATTGCTGTCGTTCATCCATGTTGGGTGCCGCTGTGGTTCCTGCGCCGTATTGTTCCTGTTCGAGTTTGCTGGTTTGGTGCATGTTCGGGAGCAACAATCCAGAACATCTCCAGGCCGCCCTGCTTGGATGTGATGATTCGATTCAATCAGTTTGTTGGACGTTTTTTGACCTTTCGATAGACTGGAGAGTAGGGCTCTCTCTCTCTCTCTCTACGGCGGGTAAAGAGAAAGCCTGAGTTGAATGACATGGTTTGATTGGACAAAGACCAAAACAGAAAGACATGGCTTGAGCGACGCGGCCATTCTTGCACCTTTGAACATGCATCACGCCAATAAGGTAATGTAGAATTAATAGAACCCCTCCCGTTTGTAAAGACCTCTTCCTATGGGGGGTTGAAAGAGAATCACGAATCTACTTTCTACTTGTGGCTTCTTGTAGTTGCCATGGATTCGTGTCCGCTGCCCAGGCTTTGGCCTGCCGGGCTCACGGCAGGGTGTCCAGCAGATGATCGCCCGTTGCGCGTGCTTTTTGGAGGACGAGGAGGTGGGGTGCGTTGCGTTCCTGTGCGTTGACCATGAAACCCGGAGAAGGCGGACCATCAATCAAGCTGACTAAGCATGACTAACGCCATATATTTGTTAAAAGATACCAAGGAGACCAAACACATTTTAGCAACAATCAAAGTGGCTTCAACATCTTCAAGATCTTCCTTCCCTTTCAATCAAGGTGGTGCAATTGATGGACTCCGTCAACATGAAGCTTGGCGTGACGTCGACCGACCCCGTTTTTCGGTGGGGCCTAAAACCTCGGTCGGCCGGATTCTTCTCGCGAGAGCGGGAGAGCTGCCGTTGGACACACTTTCCGATGACCCAAAAACGCGGCCAAACAAGAGAAGACGAGAAGACCTAACACGAAGCAATGCGAGCCAAAAGAAAAGCAGCGGAGACTTATCGTACTGCTGAACATATTTGAAAAGTTGTCAGTGTTCTAAGACTACAACAGTGCATGGTTATGAAATCGCGAACTCACTTGACCTTTTGTGATTGCAAGACCTCAATAATATTCAGACTCTAACACGCTCATATGGACTTCTAAGAAGAAAAAGCCAAAAATGAAGCATGTAAACTCAGTGGAACTCCTCGTAAACTCAGTGGAACTCCTGGGCTTCATTTTTCCCTGTCTGCCCCCCGCGAGTTCGCTGATCCCCACGGAACCTCTCCCACCGCCCTCGCCGCCGGGCGCCCATCGCCCCTCGCGCCCTCAGGAAGCTGGGCATGTCCCCCAGCGCCGCTGTGCGCTTCCGCACCCTGGCCATGGAGCTGAAGTGAGGCCGCGACGACGTGGAGAGCGCGTCGGTTCCCTCGCATCTTAGTGCGACACTTGGAGCAATGCTGCGTTTGCCGGCGCCTGCGTTTGGGTTGTCATTCCTGCTGGCTTGCTATACTGTTTCCATCAAGTCTTTCTGTGGTGCGCAAGTGATCCCCCACCCCCAGAGAACATTCATTCGATCCTGCTTTCAGGCATCTCACGTAGCCACTTGCTTGTGCCCTCGGGTCTCCCTACCCTTTCGATGGCTCCCTAGTGTCGTGGGGGCAAATCTTCGATGTAGGAAAGGTCACAGACCCAACGTCCATCGAGAAAATCTTCACGCCAGCCGCTGGCGAGCGTGGGTCAAGCCCTACTAAAGGAACACGCGGTTTCGTGCCATGGCCATGTCCCGCCGTCCAATCCTTGGTTGGAAGCGGACCTTAAATCAAATTTGCTGTAAACCTCCTAAAAGCCATTCTTTGGTCGACCTCCCTCCTCTCAGAGCTCCTCTCAGTGGAGACTCATTTCACATTTGGCCAGGCCGGCCCATATGGCAATGCCAGGTGCAAAGGCTTCTGCGAGAGCAGTTGAAGGAGTGCAAGCGAGGTTGCGGAAAGCTTACGGCCCGAAGAGGCCTGCCAACTTGGGAGTTGTGGACCTTGGACCTTGTTGGGATCAGTTTGAATCTAGCAAATCATGCTGAGACTGGTGACTAGGCATGACGATAGTAGCAAATCTGTGGAAAGTGGACGTTTTCTTTTTGACGTCTGTGGACAAGTTTGTCATACCACCGAGCCACAAAAAAGCTGCACACCGTCGGCTCAAGGCCTTCCTCAGACATCCAGTTCTGGGAAAGCTGCCGCTGCCTCTGCCTCTCTCCAATTTGAAGTGGCGCGAACGCCGCCACTGGGAATCACACGTTTTAGCCTATGTTGCCAGGGTTGGGTGTTGGATGGTGTTTGGAAGAAAGAACCGCAGGATTCTTTTTTGGGCAATGTGTGAAGAAAACCGCTGCTGGTCTTCCGGCGCATATATGAGACAGATGTCTCAACCCTGGCAACTTCTGGCTTTTCACATGTCCTAAGACTAAGACTTGTCGGATTTGTACAGGCTTTTGGCTTACTGTAAATAGACTCCAAATAGATAGAAAAGTTAAATCCCTTTCAAAAGGTATTGGACACAGTTTCTATCTATTTGGGGACCCCTTTTTTCTACCGTCGCTGACCCGCGGAGAAACGCGGATCCTCTCTCGTGAGAAGAAACGCGCGCCGCAGGCGTGAGTCGGCTTGAGTCGGCTTGAGGGTCCTGACACTCACCTCGTATCAAATTGATTTGTAATCATTCATGATTTTGCCCAAATTGATTTGTGTCTCCGTTCTCAGAACTTCTCCGGCTAAAAGTCTCACATAAAAGTACTCACTGAACTGTTGTGCTTACTTATGTCCGTGTGTATACACATATTGGGACCTATGCTGGGGCATCATGTGTTGATATCTATATTGATTATATAGATATTTTAATGTTTGGGCGGGTGTGGCTCAACAAGATCCAGCATCCACGAATTGATCACTTTCGTGTCAAAGGTCTTTTGATGGCACTGCTTTACGGCGCACCCACAGCCCTTTGGCAGAGTCGTCAGCACCCTTGAGCCATTCGCTGTTTTTGTTGCCGGATCCGTTGGATCGGCGACCGCCTTGCCATCCGGACGGATCGGTGCGAGCCGTCCTCGTTGTTGGGGACTGCTATCGGCCATCCGTTGGCCGAGAAGGTCTCTGCTGAGGTCTTTTAGATCATGGATCACAGGTTGACATTGACATGAAATATGGCTCGAACCCACGGATTCTTTTCAGTCGGCAGGACAGGCACTGGTAGGCACTAGGCACTGGTAGCTAGAGTTTTCCTCCAGACACCTGGGACCAAAGCCACCCGAAAGACCTTCTTTCCCGCGTGTTCCACCGCCGCAGAACCGGCTGAGTCGGCCCGCTCTCTTCAGAGGCCGACGACTTGACGGTTCACGGCGCGGGGCGGAGCGGATTTCGGCCGAGCGTGGCCGGCTGGCGGCCGAGTGTCGGGTCCCAGCTGATGGGTTTTCTCTTTGCTCTGAAAGGTCCACCAAATTCTTACGGAAGTGGATGGCATGGATCCGATTTTGAAGGACGATGTTTTGAAAACGAACCAGGGTCTGCCAAGGATCCGAGTCTAAGCACTCGTTTTTGGTTGTTGGACTGCCACTTTTGTGTTTCGAAATGATGCCCGACCTCGGACGCCGGACTGCGTGCACCGCACGTTCGGCAGATTTCAGGCACTTTCAAGCGCTGTCGGACCTTTTGATTCTGCCAGGGCGCTTTTTGCCTGGTGCGGAACTGGGGGCGAGAGGATCCCAAAAACACACTTCGAACTTGGGTTTTCAGTTAGACTCAATTGCCAGGATGGGAAGGAATGCGGTGGAACGGTAAGGTGATTGGGTCCGATCACTTGAAATGTTGAACATAGTTTCCCTCGCTCCGCTGAACAACGCTGTACATCAGTGGACGATCGGCGGCGCAGCTGCTGGGGAGGAGTAGGTTTGGGGGAAGTATCATGAAAACCACCATGGAAACAAACAAGGAAAAAGTGGAGTCACATCTCGCAGGTACACACGGGTGATCAATCCGTGCTTCCCACTCCAAGGCATAGCTTCGTTGCACTGAGTTTGCCAAGGAGTGCTCAGTGCCCCTGCCTCTTTTTCTGCGTTGAGAGACTGTAAGTTAGTAGCGATACCAGGAGGCCTTAGTAGCAAAGCCAGGGGCCCTAGTAGCGTCCTTACACCTTGTAGAAAGGTCAGAGGTCCTGGCTCCTGATAGCGAGGCCAGAAGCCCCTAGTAGCGTCGTTGGTGTCCACCGGTCGCCGAACTTTGTACGTATAGCGCCAATATTGGCGCGTTTTGTGAAGACTACTAGCGACCTAAAAAGCCTTAGAAAGACAGAAAAAGCAAACAAAACAAAAGCAGACTAAGAGGGCAAGAAGGAAAGATAGGTGTAGTTACGAGGCGCACGTAGTTAAATGAAAGTAGAGCGCGAGCGGGACATTTTGTCTTAAACCGCGGGTAGCTAGCAATAGCTAGGAGAAACAGAAGGAAAGGCACCAACACACAAGTGTGTTGAGTGCGATTTCCTTCTGTTGCTCGAAAAGCGGGTGGGGTAGCAACGAGGCCCAGGGGTAGGGGGGGTTGTGTGTGTGCCTATGCATGTATATGCCCGGCCTGTGAATACTTAGCTGCAAGACGTGGACATGTGGTTACTTAGCCGTATGCAAGAAACCAAAACCCTTAGGAACAGGGGTTGACACACACACACACACATTTTCTCACATTTTCTCAAATCAAGCTGCTTACTGCTTTTTACCCTCAAGGCCACTCCCCCAACGGGACATGGACAAAGCTGCCCTCGCTTCACCAACGCACTAGGCTTAGCTAAGCCACTGGCCCGCCTGGCGCTCTTTTTGATTCCTTTTTTTTGGGGCCTCCGGAATGCAAGGTTCGGTCCACCAAGGAGCGTGGCCGGTCCACCAGTGAGCTCTGCATGCTCCGCCACTGCGCGGAAATATCTGAACAGAACTTGGCTCACGACCTGCATCAAATACTGAGGGGGAACATGTCCCAATGCAGCGCCTCTGTGTTCTGACTGCTCGAAAAAACGGGGCTTTCCGGAACTTTTCACAGACGCCCACACAGACCAAGAAGCAATGTTATCGAGCTGGAGAAAAGGGAGGGCATGGGATGACAGCTGGCGTTCTTTTCACTTCGATGGTTTTTTCTTCCCATTTTTCGAGGCTTCGAAGGTCTTCGCAGAAGATTCAGTGCCTGCAACTCACGGTCCTTCCTCGATGGATGCTCGGCTCGATCTGCGGGCCCCCAATGATTGATCGATCCATCGGAGGATCTGGGCTTTTACGGGCCTGGCTCGAGATTAGGTAGGTTGTGGCGGTAGGTTATGGTAGGTTTAGAATGGATGAATGCAAGAGTCAACCTGACCTGCAATTTTGGGTGCCTTTCAATCTTGAGTGTGGCTCAACCAGAACCGCCAACCAGAAGCGCCTCATAGCGCATCTCTCAGCTCTGACTGGTCAGGCTTCCCTTTGGCCAAATGAGTCAAAGTCCATCAAACTCCCACCTGTTCCGGCGCGAAAAGCACGCCATGGCGGGCACCATGCGCCCGGAGCGGGCAGACCAGGACGGAGGCGCCCGGATGGATGACCCAGTGTTCGATCTCGAGACGCCACGTGAACCAACGCCTGGCGCCCGTCACTTGATCAAGGAAGGTCCTCATTCTACCATTTGGAGAAGATGTCGTGGTAACGTGGTGGGTGACATGGTCCATCATGAAGAAAAAACCGTGAAGCATACCGCCCCCCGTTTGCAAGACTAACATGGACCTTGAAGAGGGACGAAAAAGGACTCCTGGAAGAGTCATCAAAGTGGAGGGCATGGCCGGCATGCCCCCCCCCATATGCGGATGACCATGTTCTGAATACCAAACAGGTGGTTTTCACTCCGTAACCATGGATGATTTCAGGAGCGAACGTTTGTGGTGGGACGGCTGGTGGTTCCCAGTGGATCCATGTTTTGAGGAGATGCGAGACCATGTCCACTCCTTTTGGTTTCGACCACGTTTGGACTCACATCTAGGAACACAAAAAACCGATTTGTCTTGCTTTCCTGGTCGACCTGCATTCGCTTGGCTCAGACGCCCTCACATCAGGAACATCCACCGATTCAGCGTATTGTATAAATGGAGCTTTTCAAGAGATTCGAAGGCAATTTTCGTACTGATCACTGGGAGCAAAATGAATATGTGTGTCTTCTCAATATACAGGTTTAAATTTGGCAGTATATAAGTGCTGGTTCTGACGATATATCGTTGCTTTGGATTGTCGGTTCCTACTTCATATTGTCATAAATCCCTTCACAATGCTGGGAGTCATGGCACTTCGATACTGGCTTGTCTCTGTCGTTTGCAGCTTCTCAACGAGATCCGAGTTGAGAGATGCGCTGCTGCAGCCGCTTGACTCCTCAAAACGACGTGGCGCGTTTCTTCACTCAACAGCTGAAGACTGGATCACCTGTTTCTTCATACCATCCAGATGCTCCAAACTGCCCCAGAGGCCCCTGAAAACAGATGGGTTCGGGTCCGGACCCATTCGGTTGATCGCGCTCCGGTTGACCAGGCCGTTTGGGCCCACCGTTTGACCAGGCGGAGCGGTCGCCCGCGCGGGGGGTCGTTTCGGGAAGAGGACCGAAGGCCGACGCATCGCATCGGGGTGGGACCCCAGAGCCGTGCAAAAAGCCACTTCTTCGGCCACCAGGCCATATCTAGCAATGCACCCCCGTACTCGGGGCTTTTGTGGATGGGTTGAGTCTTTTTTAAAGTAATTTTTGATTGAGTTTTTCTTTTGCCGGCGGTTTGGGACCAACATGTTGGGAGACATTCGGACCAACACCGCTGTGTTCCTCTTGGATCAACAATGCTTAGCAGCACATACATTTCTCCGGACACCGTTTTTGCCTCCAAAACCTTGTACTAGCTGGACACAATTGCCCAGACCAAGTGAAGTCCCGAGGTGGTACCATGCGGACGAGGCGACCAAGTTGCACCTGCCCCACGGAGCGCCTGGTGGATGGGACGTTTCATCGGTGACGAATATGAAGCTGAGCAGCATGAGGCGAAGCGTGAGCTGGTGAAGTTATTTGGATTTAGAATGATTTAGAAGGAGTTGATGGGACGAGTGACACGAAACTTACAGAAGGAATTCACGGGAACTTACAGATCAGGCACCCCAGTTTGCGATTGGGCCAAAGAGATGAGCGGTAATTAAGGGCCGTCTTGCAAGACCTGTGACCAGACGCCGACCCGACCCATGAGGGGTTGGGCACTTGGGCCGTGTTTCGAGAAGGGATGCCGTTTTGGGTCCAGGGACGGATTCGTCGCACAGGGCGCAGGTGGGATTCGGAACTTGCGCAGCTGGAAACTTGGTGACTCCCCCCTATTGGCTGCGCACATGGATGTTTCCAGAAGTCCCAACTCCCAACCACTTGATTTTGTATCGTTTGGTGCCTCGAAGCTTTGAACACTTCTGAGGAGTGGCCTCTTTAAAGACCTGGAGCGCTTCAACGAGAACATCAGCGCCTGGGATACCTCCAAGGTCGTCGACATGAGCTCCATGTTCTTTGGGGCTACTGCCTTCAACATGCCCATCGGTCCCTGGGCGGGATCATCATTGGTCGTGGCACCGGGTCAATCTGCCATGTACACTCCAGGACTCCATGTTCATGAACAATCGATGTTCATCTACCAGCTACCATTCCTTGTGAGACTCATTCTGGCAGTTTCTGGCCAAAACGCCTCTCCCTTCTCCCCTCTCCTCTTTCATCTCTCCGAGCTGGGTCCTTCGACTCCGCAACCCATGACGCCATGAACCGGCCGTTCCATCCGGTCGTTGCATCCGTCACTCCCCCGGTGACCTCCCCGGACGAAGAGGGGGGAAAGGAGCCTGAAGGTCGCTTCCGCCGGTGCCGGTGGTCCGTGTGGAAGCGGAAGTGCCGGTGTTTGTCAGCTTCGGTGTGCATTTGAGTAAAAGCCGTGTGTGCTGAGTGCTAAGAAGTAGGTAGGGTGTGGCCGTCGCAGTGGTTTCTTTTTACTCTTTCTTTGCAACATACAATTAGGATTCGAGAGTGGTGGGGTAAACAACTGGCAATTGCCACAGATGTGGTGGGAGATTGTACGCCCATCCAAAAAAATGCAATATTGACAAGAGCAAGACGGGAGGAAATCGTTTCGCCCCAAAGTATCGCCTCTATTTCGAAACCAAGGCGAGTGGAACACATCGCGCGTGCAGAGCATGAGCAAGATGTTTTTCAAGGCTACGAAGTTCAACCAACCAATTGGATCGTGGAAGACTGCAGCAGTCGTTGACATGTCCCTGATGTTTTGTGGGGCCAGTTCCTTTGATCAGCCGATTAATGCTTGGGATACGGCCGGTGTGAGGAACATGAACGGCATGTTTTACGCAGCTACAAAGTTCAATCAACCAATTGACTTGTGGAAGACCGCAGCTGTCGTGGACATGTCCTTTATGTTCCAGGATGCCAGCTCCTTTGATCAGCTGATCGGTGCTTGGGACACGGCCAAGGTGAGAGACATGAGTAGCATGTTTTACGAAGCGACAAAGTTCAACCAGCCGATTGGATCGTGGAAGACCGCAGCAGTCGTTGACATGTCCCTCATGTTTTGTGGGGCCAGTTCCTTTGATCAGCCGATTAATGCTTGGGATACGGCCGGTGTGAGGAACATGAAAGGCATGTTTTACGCAGCTACAAAGTTTGATCAACCACTTGATTTGTGGAAGACCGCAGCTGTCGTGGACATGTCCTTTATGTTCCAGGATGCCAGCTCCTTTGATCAGCTGATCGGTGCTTGGGATATTGGACATGTCAAGGATATGCAGAATATGTTTTCGGGTGCAGTGGTGTTTAACCAGCCCATAGGCTTGTGGAACACTTCAGCAGTGACAAACATGCACCAAATGTTCTATGGGGCCAGTTCCTTTGATCAGCCAATTGGTGCTTGGAACACGGCCAAAGTGAGAGACATGAGGAGCATGTTTTACGAAGCTGCGAAGTTCAATCAACCGATTAAGTCCTGGAAGACCGCAGCAGTCGTTGATATGTCCTTTATGTTCCAGGATGCCAGTTCCTTCGACCAGCCAATCGGTGATTGGAATACCGCACACGTAAGGGACATGCACAATATGTTTTCGGGTGCAGTGGTCTTTAATCAGCCCATAGGATTGTGGAACACTTCGCTAGTGACGGACATGCAGCACATGTTCTGGAGGGCCACTTCCTTTGATCAGCCGATCAGTGCTTGGAACACGGCCAAAGTGAGAGACATGAACAGCATGTTTTACCAAGCTAAGAAGTTCAACCAACCAATTGGATCGTGGAACACTGCTGCAGTCGTGGACATGTCCTGGATGTTTTATGGGGCCAGTTCCTTCGATCAGCCCATCGGTGGTTGGGACACGGCCAAGGTTAGGAACATGAATGCCATGTTTTACGAAGCTACAAAGTTCAACCATCCAATTGGATTGTGGAAGACATCAGCAGTCGTGGACATGGGCGCCATGTTTTATGGGGCCAGCTCCTTTGATCAGCCGATCGGTGCTTGGGACACGGCCGGTGTGAAGAACATGAAAGCAATGTTTTACCAAGCTAAGAAGTTCAACCAGCCAATTGGGTCGTGGAAGACCACAGCAGTCGTTGACATGTCCTTTATGTTCCAGGATGCCAGTTCCTTTGACCAGCCGATTGGTGCTTGGGAAATAGGAAATGTCAAGGACATGCACAATATGTTTGCGGGTGCAGTGGTCTTTAACCAGCCCATAGGCTTGTGGAACACTTCAGCAGTGACAAACATGCACAACATGTTCTACGGGGCCAGCACTTTTAATCGGCCAACCGGTGATTGGGACACGGCCGAGGTGAGAGACATGTCTGGCATGTTCGCAGTGGCAACGTCCTTTGACCAACCCATCGGCGCATGGGACACGTCTCGAGTCAAGAGCATGCATTCCATGTTTGATCAAGCAGTGTCCTTCAATCAGCCACTAAATGATTGGGACACAGGGTTGGTGACAAACTTCTCTGCGATGTTCATACGTGCTCGTTCATTTGACCAGCCCGTGGGGATGTGGGACACATCGGCTGCCACAGACATGAGAGACATGTTTTCAGGTGCCAGAAGCTTTAATCAGCCTTTGTCAACCTGGAACTTTACATCAATCCCTGATGAGACGGCGATGTCCAATGCCTTTGCTGGGTCTGGGATGTCGGATTGTGTGCTTGGCGCCAGTTCTGAGGCTGTAGGTTTGCCTCCCAGAGTATCTCGTCCTTGGGCATATTCAGCCTGTCCCAGCTGCCCTTGCCCTCAGACAAATCTGGCATGCGTCGATGGAGCCTGTCGACCAGTGAACTCTGGCTTCATCGAGCTTGGGAAAGGCCTTTGGCACGATGTGAATGCAACGCCTGCGACAGTAGTGGGCTTCCGAGCTTGCGCAAGCAGTTGTGAAGCTTCGGATTGCTTTGCTCTTCTCCTTGAAGAGTCCGGTCACTGTTTGCTGATACATGAGCCTAGGCTCACACGGGACACAGCACCGAACGGAAGTTCAAGAGGCCAGGGACAAGGTAGGTTTTAGGTTTGCATATATAGTTGCCAAACAATGCCAAGATTTTTTGATATCTTTTTGTTTCACCGACTCCTTGCACATCATACCATACCGATTCACCTGTAGTTTGCAACACCTGGTCCAAAGATTTGTCTCGAAAAGTGTTCCGCCCTTCTCGTTCCGCCGAACCGCATACCGCGGAACACCCTGCCACTGCCGCCCTGGGAAGGACGGACCGCCTTTCGCCGGACCTCCTGCGGGACCTTCTCCTGTCCCGCTGGAACGGTGCCGACACCAACGACGCGGTCGAAGGAGTCGGAGGTGGAGGTCTCCGCGGCCGCCTGCTGCAGGTGCTCAGCGAGCAATCAGGTCCGAGATCGGAGCAAGGAGCCCGTCGCTTGGATTTGCTGGCAAGATGTCCTGAAGGTCATTCTTCTGAGATGTTCTTATAGGCCAAACCCGGCTAAAAACCAGCTGTTTCGGGGAGGTTGGACCTCCAAATAAAGATAATTGAGTAGCCTGGAATCTCGAAATGAGGCCAGAACGTGAACTCAGATGGGTCTAGTCCAATCTTTTGCAGAACTGTCTGGCCGTGGAAGATCCAAGGATTTGGTTTGCGTCGTCTGCCCAGCAGGAAGAGCTGCCAGGAATGACGAGTGCCAAGCATGCACAGCAGGTGGGGAGCGACTCTCATGGCCGAACGAGTTACAAACCGAAGACGTGACGCCGATCTCTTGATGAGTGACCGGGGTAAGACTTCGGGTGTTTTCACCGAGTCACTCTCAAGAATATCATGTGTTGATCTGGATTTGGTGATTCAACGATTTGGTTCCATTTGGATGTTTCTCTTTTTCAAGAGGCTTTTTTCAGAATAAAGTCAGTGGAGATGGCTCAATGGGGTTGGTGCATGTCCTTCATACTGCAAAGAGGTTTCAGTTTAAGATATGCGCTGGCGACGCCATCTTCGACCATCGTTCCCTAGAGCGCCAATGTATCCGGGGAGTATGAGGACGTCCACCGGTTCACCCTGCTATTTCTCAGCCGGTGACTGGTGACTCAAGAGGGCACCACAGCAAATACCCATTTAGTTCTCTCTTTAGACCACAAGAGATGCCAATATCAATGGATTTGGATGGATTTGTCAGATTCTCCAAAGCCGAAGTGTACTCTTTGTCCCAACCATTTCTTTCGATTGTCAGCCATGTTTCAGAGATTCGAACATTCTTTCTCGAGAGATGTAGCTGTTTCGTTGACGATCACGTGGGACGCTCAACAGATTTTCTGAGGATTTCTGAGGTGTAGGTGTCGCCAACCATGATGTTCACCTGATCTTGATGAGCCCTGTCGACTTTCTGTTTGCAGGATATGCCCCAGAAGGAGCCTCAGAATGTGCAGCTTGTCCTACTGGAGAAGTCCCGGACCACGGCCCCTTGGCAGATGAGGAGGAAGGGTTCAGAGCAGAGCTGGTTTGTGAGTGTTCTGGGTGGGCTGCATCTCAAGTCTGCGGAAGTCTGGCAAAGAATCGCCAGACATATCTTATTTTCTGAGGTAGGTGGTTTGGGGAAAGTCCCAATCTCCTTCAACAACAGACTAAGAGCTGCTTGAAAGGTGTCTCGATGTTGAATTTCAGCTGAGCCAGCGCTGAGGCCGCACTGACTGCACGCCTTGTGCTCCGGGAGAGTATGCAGATGGTGAGACATGCCGGCTTTGTCGATTCCCTCGCTTCTTGAACAACAACAACTGCAGCCAGCTTGCACTTGGAAGTTTTGGTCGTTTTTGTGCACTTGAGGCTTGAAGCTGCTTTGGAATTGACATGTTTCAAGGTCCATGGCCGGCTCGCCAGTCCTGTTACAGTGTTTCAAAACCACGCGGTTTTTGCATGATTTTGCTTTGGCTCAGTCTGTATTCCTTTATCTCAGCCTGTATTTGGTATTTTGATGCGTTTTTGTATGTTTCTCCCAGGTATTTGGTGGCACCTTCCGATGATCGTCCTGCTGCTCCTCTTCTTCTCCGCCCTCGTCTTCCTCGGGCACCGCATCACCAAGCGGCGCCGGAAGCGCTGGACCGAGCGCCGTGAAGAGGAGGCGGAGTCGGGGCGGAGTCGGGCAGAGTCGGAGACATGATCTGTACATGTAGATACGGCTTTGTTTGGCTATGAGTCAACATGGGGCTTTTGATCCATACCCATGATGGGCGGCCCATTTATGGCTTATGGTAGTGGGGTGCTTGTTGATTCGATGACCAAACACCTCAATCCACCATGGGTCAAAATGGATCCAAAGGGTGTTTTTCACCCATCCCCATGATGGGCGGCTCGGTAGTGGGATGCTCGTGGGTCGATGACCAAACTTAATCCACCATGTGCCTGGCACTGGTAAAAACAGTTTTGGAGGGTCAGGCATTAGGCAGATGGAACGCGTGGAGCACATGGAGCTTTCGCCCGATGCGCACGGTACGACCCTCCAGCGACAGTTGTCCCAACCTGGGAGTTGTTTGTGATGTTTAGGGAATAAATTATGCTAAAGTAAGTCAGTCCTTAGAATTCCACTCAGCCCCACCGTCAGGCCATTCTAAACGGCTTTCGATCATTCCAATCAGCCACTGCTTCACTGGTTGAGAGCTCCTAATTTCTGGTGCTTTTGTTTGCTTGGACAACGCTGCTGCGCGACCAGGTGAACCAGATCCTTCAACAGCTCGAACAGGAGCTTTGGCATGAGAAGCTGAACACCATGAACAGGCTGCGACCATTGATCAACCCTCAGTGCATGCATAAGCTTGTTTGTTTATATACACACTGTTCAATAGATAGAGACATGTTGTGTTGCCTCCTTTTTTGAGTTGCAAGCCAGTGAAGACTTGCATGAAGTATGCACATCCAAATTGTGAATGTCTCACCTTTTTAGCCTGATCCTGGAGAGGTTCTTTGTGGCCTTGAGCGGCTTTGGCTGGAGCTGGAACCAAGTGTGTCAGCGAGCTGAAGAGATTCTCAGATTGATTGAGCTTGGAGATGTTCTCAGATCTTGTCTGAGGGTTCAAGATGGAAGGTCAGGGAAGTCTGGTGACTAGGACGATGTCGAACTCGAAATCTCATGCAGACTACACTCCCACTCACATGGCTGATATGGAATCTGCAAAGGAAGCAAATCTTGCAGGTGCCCATTGTCCCATTCCAGGTGAACTTGAGTTGCAAGGACAGTAGAGGTTTCCAGTTGAGCTATTTTTAGTCGTGTTTCGCTGCCAAAACGTGAGGATCCGGGCCCGTCACAGCGCCCATGCGGGTGTGAGCCTCGCGTATTTGATGGGTGACTTCTCACAGTTGGCCTATGACTGGTCGGGCGAGCATGATCCAACATTTCTTCGCTTGAAGGAGGCAGGAGGATCTTTTGTTTGTGAACTAGCTGATGAGTAGGTGACCGTGATGGGAGGATTCGACAATTTTTGAGAAATGAGCAGAAACAAATATAAAGCCGAAGACCTTTAAGTACCAGCCAGTCTTTTGACGGGGAGATGAGTGGAACAGGGGTATGTATGCCTTGTTTATGGCTGGTGCCCGTGTTTTCCGGCTTTCAGTGCCCGGTCTTCCCTTGAGGTCTTCTGGCAAGGCGAGGAGAAGCTCGGATCCGACATTCGTTGCCCCCGCGATGGGCGACCAGGATGCGCGCTGGTGGATTGGCTGTCGCCAGAGCATCGTCAAATGCAGACGCATTTTATGCCACTTGGCCAGACCAAAAAACGCCACGAGAAGCGGAAAGGTTGGAAGAGTGTTGAAGTTTTGAGCACATGACACATGAGAGGGTTAGGAACTTGGACATGAGGGTTGGAAGCGGGTTGGAAACCATTTTTAAAGACATGACGCATGTGGGCCTCATAGGGAACCGCATGATCCTGAAGTTGCCACGTGCCACATTTGCGGCCGCCCGGGACGGCGGGTTCTGAGAGAGGTTCCTTGTTGCGGGTTCTGAAGATCCATTCACGGGGCAATCCCCAAGCAGCACCAGCTTTTTCATAGCTTTTCCAAGTGAAACAACAAGGTCCCATGAAGTGCCTTCAGATTCATCTTGCGCAACGTTGCATGCTCCAAAACCCCAAATTCTTGTTGATGGGACGGACCCGAAAAAACGATACGTTCTAACAAGGTTCCTCAACATTGGGAACGATATACTCACAAATTCGATGTGGTAGCTGTAGCTGCATCAGTTTAATCAGTTTCGAACATATCTCGTGTGGACTTGGATGGTTTCGGGTCTACAGCTTTTGGAAGGAAATGAGTGACGAAGAAACCATCGAAGGTCCTGGAGCTGGCAATATTCACTCCAACAACTGCAGAGCGCCATGAAGATGTGGAGGGGAACCACAACGCTGGATTTTCAAGAGGCTTAGCTGATGGGTCAACTATATAGCTTTTTGTCTGATTTCAGTGAGGTTTGCAACGAGTCTTGGCATTGTGTTTTGGCATTAGAGAATCATAGAACAGCCAAGGAGGTCTTCTTCTACATCTGTTTCTTTGTCAACAATCAATTCCGCATCATCGTGGAAGGATCGGCCATGGGAAGTGACAATTTGGAAGAAGTCTTCGAGAAGAATCTCCGGCGCATCGGGCGTGTGGTCGCAGTGTTGGACACATGGCAGCAGCCTGTCTACCTGCAACGTGTGTGGACGATCTACGAGCAGTACGTAGCTTGCTCCTTGCAAGTACCAGTGACATTCGTCATGCCGGAACATGCAAGTGCGTCTTGTCTTCAAAGATCATTCTTCATGTCTTTGACGTGCGTTTTTCCAAGCTTTGGCCGTGGTCGCCCGATCCAATGGAAGCCCTTGGCGAGAGGGAACAAAGGATATGCCGTGGAAGATTAACATGGAACCTGAAAACCACTGGCTTGTAGAGGAAAATATACTGTATCACAATAACTAGTTTTCCAAACGTCCATCTTCAGGTTCCATTTTAATCCATCAGAGTGTAGTTGATAGATATCTCGAAGCCTTCAGTTGGTGGTGAAAATAGGACCACTGGATACCACAGGTTTCTTTCCCATAGAATTTCTCATATTTTGAGTGATGTCAGTTTGACCCGGAACAAAATAATCTGGAAAATATTGATGGGACCTCTTGATCCGTTCGTCGTGAGGTGTCTCTATCGGATCAGATCCTTTGCTGAGACGCAGCACCTTTTCTCTCCTTTTTTAATCTTTAGAAACCAAAAGCACATATGTGCTAGATTATCTAGATTAATATTTTGGATTATCTATAGATGACTCTTTCTTTTTCACAAATTGTCCGGGTCGGTCACTGGCAGCTCGAATTCTTCCCCCGAAATTCCATCACGGTGAGGTCCGCCTTCACTTCCGCTTTCGCTCTGCGCACGTTCGATTGCGGGCGTTCCGCTCGCTGTCACTCTAAACGGTCGGATTTTGCGGCAGGATCTCTCGTGGAGCGTCGGGCATCGACGACGTGACGTCGTCCCTGTGCCACGTCAACGTGGCCGATGCCCGAGCCTTTGATCCGAGAGATGAGGAGAAGGTGAAGAGGACGATCGAGTGCACGGACGCTTGGAGTTAATGGGTGCCGCGGGGTCGGTTCTGGTTTCATCGGAAGCCTGTAGTCTGTCACACTTTGTCTATGGAATTCCAGCACGACCTGGAACCACCTGTTCACACTGTCAACAAGGGTGTTTTTTCCTTTATTTCAGTGAGGTCCAGTGTGGGAGTTCCGAGGTTTGGGGAACGCACGGTCGTATTTTCTTCAAATAGATTGTTGATTTATGTTGATTTTTGCTCAACCCCTTGGCGCATTAGTTTAGCCAGGGTGTTGGGTTTCGCAGGTCGTTGATGCGCTGTTCAAAGGCTAGGTGTATGTTGCTGAAATTGGAAGCTAGGATCAGAGGACAGCACTCGCATGATGTATTTTTACTCGGGTGCTCTGGAAGCAGTTCCAAGGTGGGTTTTGACCGAGTGAACCAGCACGTAAAACATGCAATGATCCAGTGGATTGGTGTGGTGGTGAAAGAGAAGTTCCAGCGGCTTGTTGACGCAGCTGATCGTGAGGACGTCTTTTCAGTCTAGCAGAAGTCTAGCGTCTAATTCATGCTCATCATGCTCAAACAAATAAATATACAGCATGTTTTTGCCTAGGAGAAAGCTTAGCAGAAGTCTAGCAAGTAGGAGCAGAAGCCGGCAGAAGCCTGGTGCCAACAAAGCTCAGACGTCTTGAGCTCGCTCAAAACGGACAAAGGACATCGAACAGGGGCTGTTGTCATCGGTTGGAAGCGGGGTCCAAGACCTGCTCATGAGCTCGACTGCTCATGAGCTCGAGTGCTTTTGACTCTTCCGATGGGCCTGCCACAGAACTAGTGAAGCCAGCAGAAGACTCCGCAAATACTGTGGTTCATGATGGTTCATGTGTTTTTTCCCCGGATCTCGAGCAACTGCCACACCCAACGACTCACGAAGTTTCTGTAAAAGATGGACCCGCCCATCCCGCCCTGGGACAAAACTCCCTCTGGAATCGAACCAAACCAGGTCTGCTTTGGTCCAAAAGCCGCTGGGACCAACCCACGGTGTTCCGGAACCTGCGGGAAAACACGCTGATTCCGCGCTGCCAGGCCGCAGGAGACGACGGAATCTGGGAGGCTGGTCCGTGGGATGGGGTCTGTCTCAGAATGTCTGGCTGTTTCATGTGGAATGGCTGTTTTATTTGTTTTTTTCAACTGTTTTCGTGAGAATTGTCTTGTCACAATGGGGCCATCTTTGGGTCAGATTTGGAACCTTGCGAACCTCGCTTGAACCATATTCCGCGAATCTTTTTCTCTGGAAGTCTATAGTGTCAAGCAGGTTCATTGTGGTGTGCCCTCACCCTTTGCGTGTTTCAATTGAACACGGGCTCAACTTTTTTTTCAACACCTGGCCTGTGTGGCCCATGACCCAAGTCTTTCCCGGTGTACCTGGATCCACTTGGCTCAGACGTCCCCACATCAGCGAGATCGACAAACATCCAGGATTTTTCATTTATCAGTGTAATTTCAGTGTACTGTATAATATATTATTCTCACCAAATAGCTGCTCTAATCTTCCAAATACGACAATGCAAGCTTTAAGTTTGGCAGCTAAGTGCTGATTCTGACAGTATATTGTTAGTTTGGATGGTCGGTTCCTACTTCATATCGTCATAAATCCCTTCAACATGCTGGGAGTCGCACTTCGATGCTGGCTGATCTCCGTGGTTTGCAGCTTCTCAACGAGATCCGAGTTGCGAGCTGCGCTGCTGCAGCAGCTTGGCGTGGCAGGGACCTCCCTCTTCGCCCCCCCCCTCAGCTGGACCTCCCTCTTCGTCATCGGACGGAAACGGAGACGGGTCGTGACGGACGTGGAGGGCGGGGGAGGGAAAGAAAGGATGGAGCCCAGAGGAGCCCAAAGCACACACCTAGGCATCCTAGGCTAGGGAGTTTTTTCCCTGGTGGCCCGAAATCATTTGGATGATGATTAGGTTAACGGTTATAGGTATGGCTTGGTGACGGGGTGATGGGTTGAAGAGATGATGGGTTTTCACCTTGAACATCCGGGAGGTTTTGGATCAATTTCCCAAATTTCATGAACCGCATTCCAAGCTTCTTGTAGACAGCCTTCGGGCACCTCCAAAACCGAGACAGCTGGGCACACTTGCCCAAGTGAAGTCCCGAGGTGGTACCATGCAGACGAGGCGACCAAGTTGCAGCTGCCCCACGGAGCGCCTGGTGGATGGGACGTTTCATCGGTGACGAATATGAAGCTGGGCAGCGAGCTGGCGAAGCGTGAGCTGGTGAAGTTGGGATAAGTTGGGATCATTTACTGTAGTTATTTGGAAGGATTTGGAAGGAAGAGTCACAGATCAGGCACCCCAGTTGCGATTTGGACCAAAGGGATCGAACAATGTAAGGGGCCGTCTTGCAAGACCTGTGAGAAGCCAAGTCCACCCATACCCATGAGGGGTGGGGCATTCGAGCCGAAGGGATGCCGTTTTGGGTCCCAACCCCCTTGAAAGCTGACCAGGACGGATTCGTTGCACAGGGCACAACTTGCTGCGCACATGGATGTGTCCAGGAGTCCCAACCACTTGATTTCTGCAAGGTATCTTTGCAAGATGGTTAGGTCGCTTCATGGCCGGAAACGGCACAGCCACCATTCCATCCGGGGAAGATGCCCACCACGCGACCACCATGTCGCTTGGAACACATCCAGGCGTCCCGAACCGAGGGGGATCCGGCGGATCCGGCGACCGGGCAACATGCGAGTTGGTGTCGGGTGGTACCACCCCCCTGGACTTGGGAGATGACACGAGATGACTACTGTATAGTACAGTAATGGATACATAGTGGTGGGATGACTAATTTCACGGTGAGATATACATGTGCAGTAACCCTCAGACCCTCCACAGATCCTGGACTTCAACGGCCAGAGCCTAGCTCGCTTAGCTCGCTTAAGTCTGTCTTTGGTGCTTCGAAGCTTTGAAACACCTCTGAGGAGTGGCCTCTTTAAAGACCTGGAGCACTTCAACGAGAACATCAGCGCCTGGGATACCTCCAAGGTCGCCGACATGAGCTCCATGTTCTTTGGGGCCACTGCCTTCAACATGCCCATCGGTCCCTGGGCGGAATCAGCATTGGTCGTGGCACTGGGTCAATCTGCCATGTACACCCCATGTTCATGAACAATTCGTTGTTCATCTACCATTCCTTGCTTTCGAGTCATCGAGGCAGTTCCTTTCCCGAAGCTGGGACCCTTCTCCCTTCTCCTCTCTCGCCTCTCCCGCCTCCTTTCTCCTCTGTCCTCTTTCATCTCTCCGAGCCGGGTCGCGGTTCCTCCGTCTCTCCCCGAGCGGTTCCTCTGGGTCGGTGCATCTGTCACTCCCCATTCGTTTGCACCGGGAACTCCGCGGCGGTTCCTCCGGTCGGAGCGCCTTCAAGTCACTCCCATCGTTCACCGGTGGTGGTGCCGCGCCTCCCTCCCCCCGGTGGAGCGCGTCGGAGTGAGTGGGTGGTGGAGCGCGGTCAGCAAACCGTGTGTGCCGCATTTGAGTCAGGTGTAGGCAGCAAGCCGTGTGTGCTGAGTGCAAGAAGTGGGTAGGGTGTGGCCGCTAGTATTCGTTTGTTGTTTCTTTTTACTCTTTCTTTGCAACGTACAACTATGATTTGAGAGTGGTAGGGCAAACAACCGGCAGTTGCCACAGATGTGGTGGGAGATTGACCGCCCATCCAAAAATGCAAAATTGACAGATAAGAGCAAGACGGTGAAATAGCTTTGCCCCAAAGTAGTACTGTAATACTGATTGCCTCTGTTTCGAAACCAAGGTGAGTGGAACACATCACGCGTGCAGACCATGAGCAAGATGTTTTGGAAGGCTACAAAGTTCAACCAACCGATTGAGTCGTGGAAGACCGCAGCAGTCGTTGACATGTACGCCATGTTCTACAGAGCCACTTCCTTTGATCAGCCGATCGGTGCTTGGGACACGGCGAAGGTGAGAGACATGGCAGGCATGTTTTGCCAAGCTACAAAGTTCAACCAGCCCATTGGGTCGTGGAAGACATCAGCAGTCGTTGACATGGCCGGTATGTTCCAGGATGCCAGCTCCTTTGATCAGCCGATTAATGCTTGGGATACGGCCAATGTGAGGAACATGAAAGGCATGTTTTACGAAGCTACAAAGTTCAACCAACCCATTGGATCGTGGAACACTGCAGCAGTCGTTGACATGTCCTCTATGTTCCAGCATGCCAGTTCCTTTGATCAGCCGATCGGCGCTTGGAATACAGCCAATGTCAGGGATATGGGCAATATGTTTGCGGGTGCAGTGGTCTTTAACCAGCCGATAGGCTTGTGGAGCACTTCGGCAGTGACAAACATGCAGCAAATGTTCTACAGAGCCACTTCCTTTGATCAGCCGATCGGTGCTTGGGACACGGCCGGTGTGAGAGACATGAAAGTCATGTTTTACGAAGCAACAAAGTTCAACCAACCCATTGGATCGTGGAACACTGCAGCAGTCGTTGACATGTCCTTTATGTTCCAGCATGCCAGTTCCTTTGATCAGCCGATCGGTGCTTGGAATACAGCCAATGTCAGGGACATGGGCAATATGTTTGCGGGTGCAGTGGTCTTCAACCAGCCGATAGGCTTGTGGAACACTTCGGAAGTGACAAACATGCAGGAAATGTTCCATGGGGCCAGTTCCTTTGATCAGCCGATCGGTGCTTGGGACACAGCCGAGGTGAGAGACATGTCTGGCATGTTCGCAGCGGCAGCATCCTTTGACCAACCCATCGGCGCATGGGACACGTCTCGAGTCAAGAGTATGGACACCATGTTTGATCAAGCAGTGTCCTTCAATCGGCCACTCAATGAATGGGACACAGGGTCGGTGACGAACTTCTCTGCCATGTTCATCCGCGCTAGCTCGTTTGACCAGCCCCTTGGGACGTGGGACACATCGGCTGCCACAGACATGAGAGACATGTTTTCAGGTGCCAGAAGCTTTAACCAGCCTTTGTCAACCTGGAACTTCACATCAATCCCAGATGAGACGGCAATGTCCAATGCCTTTACCGGGTCGGGGATGTCGGATTGTATGTTTCGCGCCAGCTCTGAGGCTGTAGGTTTGCCTCCCAGAATATCTCGTCCTTGGGCATATTCAGCCTGTCCCAGCTGCCCTTGCCCTCAGACGAATCTGGCCTGCGTCGATGGAGCCTGTCGACCAGTGAACTCTGGCTTCATCGAGCTTGAGAAAGGCCCTTGGGATGATGCAGATGCAACGCCTGCGACAGTAGTGGGCTTTGGAGCTTGCGCAAAAGCTTGTGAAGCTTCAGATGGCTTTGCGTTCCTCCTTGAAGAGTCTGGGCGCTGTTTGCTGATACATGAGCCTAGGCTCACACAGGACACAGCGCTGAAAGGAACTTCAATTAGAGGCCCGGGGGCAAGGAAGGTCTTGGGTTTGCATCTGTAGCCAAGTACTCTTTGTTTCACCGACTCCGTGCACAGCATGCCCTTCCCCACCCGTGTCACACCCATTCCGAAACACGCTGCCTGAAGGACGGACCAGGGCCTTTCGCCGGACCTCCTGCGGGACCTTCTCCTGTCCCGCTGGAACGGTGCCGACACCAACGACTCGGGCGGAGGAGTCGGAGGTGGAGGTCTCCGCGGCCGCCTGCTGCAGGTGCTCAGCCAGCAATCAGGTCCGAGATCGGAGCAAGGAACCCGTCGCTTGGATTTGCTGGCAAGATGTCCTGAAGGTCATTCTTCTGAGATGTTCTTATAGCGCTTATAGGCCAAACTCAGCCATTTCGGGGAGATTGGACCTCCAAGTAAAGGAGTGAGCAGTCTGGAATCTGAAAAGAGGCCAGAATGTGAACTCAGATGGGTCTAGAGTCTAGAGTCTAGTTCAATTTTTTTCAGGACTGTTTGGCCGCGGAAGAGCCAAGGATTTGGTCTGTGTTGTCTGCCCAGCAGGAAGAGCTGCCAAGAATGACGAGTGCCACGCGTGCACAGAAGGTGGGGACTGGCCCTCATAAAATAATAAGACCGTTGATAAGGCATTCAAGTTTATCTTCCCAAAATGAATGGTTGGTTGGGTAGGGACATTTTGGGATTTGAAACATATAGGGGTAACTCCTGATCTTGATGCCATTTTGGCTCAAGATCAGGGCAGGGATTTGTTTTTCCGGGCCCCGCTATGCCTCGGATCACCCGATCGACTGCGGCGGTTTGGAACCCCGGGTCGAGAAGGTGGCGGAGGGCTCATCGCGGCGTGGACCCGGCGACGATTTCTGCCGAAGATCGAAGGGCTGACCTTGGTGCGCGGTCAGCCTATATCCTGGCTATTTGGGATACAGTGGAGCGCCGCCCGGACTTGGAGGCAGACTTCTGCCGGTGTTGTGGGGTACTTACAGCTTCTTGGTGCGAGGGCTGCTACTTCCGCCTACCGGAGAGCTTCGGAGCGGTGTGCGCGGAGTGTGATCACCTGCACTTGGTCTGTGACCGGTGCAGGTTTGATCACATTTCTTGGGAGCAAGGCCATGCCGCGTACATCGAACAAGGGGGCCAAGACACCGAGGACCAGGTCCAGATCACCGGGTGGGGTGACCGGACCAATCCACCCCATTTCGAAGCTGCCTCCAGCCAGGTCTCCATTGAGGAGGTCGCGCAGATCCTCGGAATCTCAGCCCAGCAGGCCAGAGACCTCCTCAAAGAGCAGCTGTCCGGTACCACCCAAGCAGCCTCCAGTGGATCCTCTGCGACCGGCCCTCCCTAGGCAGCCCATGCCACCACCAGGACCTCCTCCACTGCGGCTGAGGAGGCCACGGTCGCCCTCTGTGTCGCCAGGGCGTGGCCGTACTCCGGTTGTGACTGTGCGCCAGCCGGACCAGGCCATGGAGGCTGATTTGCTGGAGTTGGTGGCCGAGCGCTCGGATGAGTTGGTGCAGCTGTTTTGCCACCTGGGCGTCCAGACCTGCCAGGACGTGGTTGGCATTTGGTCCCATGGCGGCGAGTTGGTGGCAGAGCTTGAACGCATCCAAGGCCCCCTGGACGCCGAAGAAGCATTCCAGGTTAGCGCCTTGTGGAGCATTGCTGCTCGCCGGGCCTATAATCACAACTGGCGCGTTGCCAGAGCGGTGATCGGGAACTGTGCCTCGGTCGTGGAGACCACGTCCATGGTGGTTGCACCCAAGGGCACAGGCCCTAAGGGACACGTGAGGCAGCTGCTGGAGACTGGGTTCCCAGGGCGGCCACCAATGTTGCTGGCAGCTGCAACTGCTGATCCCCATACCAAAGCTGAGGCCAAAAGGGCTACCAAGATTCAGGCCCTCTTTGATTTGTTATTGAGTGAGTTCCTCAACCTGGCCGAGTTGGGGGTGACCTGGGAAGAGTTGGGCGACCCCGTCCGCTTGCAGCAGTTCAAGGACCAGATTATGCAGTCCACCGGCCGACTCACTGAGGCGAGGATTGGTGCCCTCCTGGCGGCTCTGCGGCGCTGGCAGCGGTATGCCTCTGAGAAGGCTTTCCCCGTTGCTCAGCCAACTCCGCTCCAGTTGGGCGAATTCTTTCGTGCAGTGGCCCAGGGTGGGCCCACAGCCGCATCCTCCATGTTTCAGGCATTGAAGTGGTTTCGGGTTACCTTTGGCCTCAACTTCAATACAGACCATTGGCTTACCCAACCCTTCAGGCTGCTCCCACCGGATCATCGGGTACAGCAGAGGACCGAACTACAACCCTGGGAGCTGGTGAACCTGTTATTGATGATGAAGAAAGCGTCCGGCACACATTTGCTGATTTTGACATTTTTTGTCTGGGCAGCTATTTCATGTGTACGCTTTGAACATTTTCAACGGTCGCATTACATGGAGAGCCATCCTCAATGCCTGGTTTTTGAATGCTCCCAAGGCAAAGCCCGACGGCGTGGCGCGCGGCCTCCGTATTCGTGGGCTATGCCAGAATTGGAGTTTCAAGGGCTCAGCATCCATCGTATTGTCCGGGACTTCGTGACCATGGAGTTGAACCCCCAGCTGAACTTCCTGTGGCCGGCCCTCCAGCTTAGCTCAGATGATCTCTGGGAGGTCACTGAAGGCACGGCATGGCTGGTAAACAGGAAGATGTCGCGGGGCCGTTTCCTGGAACTCCTGCGGGGCGCCCTCATCACCATGCAGGTGGATCACGCCCAGGCCCGGGGGGCTGGTTACAACAGGCTGCGCCGGTTCTTGCCAACTATGGGTATGGTATGTGGCTTGCAGCCCTCCAACCAACAGGCCATTGGCAACTGGCAGGAGGTTCCCAGTGCAGGAGGTCCTGAACCCGTTCGCAAGAGCAAAGCAGTATGGTCGATGGGCCTTCACTATGCCGGGCAGAAGGTCTTGCATTCGGCAGCCGTCAAGCGAGCGTTGATTCAGCGGTTTCTCCATCTACTGAGGCGCAAGCTCCCCGAACTGGCCCTCAATGCTGATGGTCTCGTGGCCCGTGACGCCTGGACCTGGCCTGAGCTCGCTCAGATGAACGAAAGTTTTGGGCCCTTGGAGGCGGCGCTGATGACGCCTGAGGTCCAACCTCCTCCAGAGACACCGCCGGTGACGGCGCCTGAGGCCCCCCCTCCTGCAGACACACTGCCTGAGGAGGCCTCGGGAAGTGCCTTGCCTGTGGCAGGCCCCAAGGAGGAGATCCCGGCTGAGGAGGCTGACCAGATCACCCCGCCGGAGGAGGCTGCCGATCCGGAGGCCCAGTCCGCATCGTCTTCGACTACTTCATCGTCCGCGTCGGACTGTTCGGCCATGGGCAGTGACTTGGAAGGCGTCCTGGCAGAGGAGGCGGCTATCACAGAAGCCAAATGGTTCGTCCAAAGCCGCCGAGTTCACATCGTCAGTGGAGTGCTGGATGAGCGCCAACTGCCCTACTGCCGGGATTCGCCCTTCGCCCAAGATCCCAAGAGCCAGGGAGAGGGCTTTGGATTGGTTGTCCGAAGCCAATTCTGCCAGCGGTGCCTGGCACGCATGCCACGAGGCCTCTATGCCTCCTTGGCTGACCAGTGCGGATGGTTGCACTGAGTGTATAAAAAGCTGAGGGACCAGAGGTGCCGTGGGGTGCGGGGGCGGGGGGTCGACGTGCGTCTACATGGGGGTCGAGTTTGATTTTGCTCACCGACCTTTTTCCGACGTCGTGTTCCCGGTCGACCTTTCTGATTGTTGTGCCCCCACCCCTGTTTCCCCCCCTCGGGGTAGGCTTGGAGGGGCACCTTTTGGTCTGTGACCTGGCTTGGCCTCCTCCGGGGTGCCACCAGAATGGGGTGGGTATCGAGGTGTGTTTGGCCGCTCCGACGGGCAGGGTGGTAGGTCTGGGACCTCCACCTATGGTGTTCGCTACCTCGCAACCCAGCTCAGGGCTCAGAGGGTCGTAGCTAGAGTACTCACGCGATTCGATTGTGGTACCCCTACGGCCATGAGCGGTTCGAGGCGCATCGATACCTATCAGGATGACAGGGGACTGACGACATGCTTCGCTGGGGCCAACATCCTGGAGGAGTGGAAGAGTGAGTTGGTTCATGCCCACAAGTGGGAAACGTTGGAAGATTTTGTCTACTACTTCAACGAGACCGCCATGGAAACGTCATTGGATCAAGTCCTCCAGCCGACCAAGATGAAAGACAACCGGTTGTTGCGAGCCAGGCTGAAAGCGGCCCACGCAGCCGGCCTTGAGGCCATTCGTGCAGCCGCTGCGGAGGCAAAGCAGCCGGAAGCTGTGGATGAGACACTCCCAGAATCCACCATGCAACAACTTCACAAGGACTTTGCCACCAAATACGGTGTGGTGTTGGATGCGTTCTTGGAACCATCCGACGCCCTTCGGTCCCGTATTTACAGGGAATTCCGCAAAAGGACAATGTCAGTCATCAGTGTGGCCAAGGTCCGATCCATCCTCCACCAGTCGGCACCCAAGCAACAGGAATCAGTCCGCCTGGGCGCGGGCGTCCAGCTTGAGTTCGCAGCCGACGATCATCGTATTGTGCGAACCGTGGTGGAGTACTATTTCTCCCTACGTACTTTGGCTTATGCCTGGGCGTGGGGAGGTTTGTACAAGGTATCTGACTTCGATGGCAATGAGAAAGTCTTCATGCCCCTGGCCCCAGCGATGTCTTATGCGGATCAAGCCCTCCAATTCACTATGGAGTTCGGGCAGGGTAGCCTGATTTGGCTGGAGCGCAATGATATCAACACACGCTCCAAGATGGCTTCCCTCATCCGCCGTGGCTACACAGGTGCGTCCGCCTTGGAGGAGGCCTTGCGCCAGACCCATATTGACTGGCGCGCCCCGGGAGTTCAGCCCACCTTGCCTGAGGCAGGTGCCTCCCCGAAGCGCCGCTTGGCGGAGAATGATCAGCCGCAAGAGAAAGGCCCAGCAAAGGAGAGGCGCCTGGTCAAGACGGACAAATGGCCTACTATCTCTATGTTGAAAGGGGGTCAGAAGATTTGCAAGCCTTTCAATGACGGGCGTGGCTGTACCAAGGCGGGCTGCAAGGACCTTCATCAGTGTGATGTCAAGTTGAGCCCCGGGAAAGCCTGCCTGGCCAGTCACACCCGGCTCCAGCATGAATAGGGACAACGCCCCCCGAGGGTCGGGGAACCCCGGGGGGGCCCAGATGAGGTGGCCTTGCGTGTGCAGCTTCCGGCCAGTTCGACATCTTCTGAGGCCCACCGCCGTGTGATCCTGCGACCTGATGGTCACTCTGGCCATGTGACTATGGCTGACCGCCTGTATGCAGCGAAGCCTGTCACTTGGAGAGGCCAAGGGGATTTGCCGCAGTTTCCCTGGGCAAAGCCCTTCAAGGGTACTTGGCTGGTTGTGGACCTTTGGTCAGGTATTGGCGGGCTTTTGGTCGCTTTGCTGGCTATGGGAGTTCACTTCTATGCAGTGGCTGCTGAGATGGATGATGAGGCCGCCCATTGTACTCAAGTGGTCATGCCCCACGTTGTTCCTGTCACGGGTGGAGGACCTACGTGCCGTGGATT